AACCCAGGCATTCTGTTGGGAAATGTGGACATCTGAGCTGCTCAACTGGACGCCTGCTCCCTGTGTTTTTTTCATCAGAGAACTTAAACTTGATAGTTGGTTTTTGATCTGGTTATGTTACTGTCTATCATCTCTCAGGCTTTTACGTTTATTCAATTTCATGTTCATTCGTTTTCAGATATTGTCCTGTGGATGAGTTGAACACTTATTAATAATTCTTTGATGAGTACTCCAATGTGGCAAGTGAGCAACGTAACCATTAGACTGAATTGCCCTCTCCCTCTCACAGTCTTTTATGAGAATAAACTGAAATGTGCTGTACTGGCAGGCTAGATGGATGCCTGCCTGCTTGTCTTCTCCACAGCTTCATGTTGGCAGGATGGATGGACCAATAAGACCTTCAGAGCTGTGAGTGAGGGAAGAGCTGGACTCACCGACTGGGTGCTGGGGAGGAGAGTAAGTGAGTCACAAAAAGCCCATGTGGTCATAGGGAAGATCTGCAATAGATGAGGAAGACGTCGGAGCATGGTGACAGATGAATGTCCCTGTCTATGCATGATGCGTCATGAAGCCACCAACAGAAAAAGGACAGATCTTTTTTGTGTCAAGCTAGAAAAACACAGACCAAAATACAGGAAAGGAGAAGGAATGCATGTGGCGGCTCATCTGTTGAGGTGGATCTCTTTGTGAAAGAGAATTCTGGAAGACATCTCGTATAGGTATATGAGAAGATAGACCATGAGAAGCACACTTGCATGTTACTGTTGGTTACCAGTGGAGGGTGGGATTGGACCTGAGGCTGGAGGGGGGATAATTCACATTTTATTTACATGGCATTGAGATGTTATTCATAAAAGACTATTTTAGCTGCGGGAGTGCACTACATTCTTTGATCAGGTGGCAGAATTTGTAAAGTCTGAATGTGTAGAGTACAGATGAACCCTGGCCAGTGCCAGCATCCTGGTGCCACAGGTTAAGCTGCAGCCTGGGGCATTGGCATTCTATAGCAGAGTGCCAACTGGACTCCCCGCTGTTCCATTTTCTGTCCAGGTTGCTGCCGATGTCCCTGGCAAAGCAGTGGAGAATAGCACAGGTATTTGAGTTCCTGTCATCCTGGCTGGAGTTCTTGATGCCAGCCCCAGCCGTTGTGGTCATTTGGGGAGTGACCCAGCACATGAAAGACCTCTCTCTCCCTGCCCCCATCTCTCTGTCAGCCTGAATTGTATCTCTGTCTTTGCCTCTCTATATCACTCTGGCTGTCAAATGAATGAATGTATGAATGAATGAATGAATACATACCTACATAAATAATAAATCTTAAAAAAAAGAAAGGCTCTGACATGGGACACCTTGTAAAGGCTTGTTATCTCAGTATACTTTGAGGATGTAGTGTGCTGTGTAAAAGAGCTCACGCTGCTGACGCCCATGGCTGGACTCCAACGGGTGAGTGATGAGCATAGCATGTTTGATGTTGACGTCAGTTTGTGCTGACTACGAACTAACAGGGATCCCACCTCTGCAGGCTCGATCCTCATGAGCAGGTGAACTTCTTGCTCTTAAAGAGGTTTCAAATAATTCCTACCTTCTTTTTTAATCATTAGCAGTTTCATTTTTCTAGCTTGTCAGCCCTAGAAACGCTTTTCTTTGGTTCTAAATCAAGCAGCAGTGTTATTACCATGCCAGTTGTGACGCTACCCCAGGGTATTTCATCAGGCCACAGCTTTCTCCGCCATAATCTTTGCAAGAGCCTGGGAAGAGCTGTTGCCCTTAGGAAAGATGTTCTGACTTCAAGCTCTTAAGGTTCAAACTTTTAGAAAAAAAGAAAAGTCCTCTATTTTCAGTCTTCGCTGCCTAAGGAGATGAAACTGCCTTAGCCTTTAAAGCACAGATGTGAATCTTTCAGACAAAACTGGGGCTTTGGTCTACCCTTGGGCTATCCAAGGTGATTGTGCATTTTATTATTTCACCCAGACTGACTCTGACCCTTCTGCAAGGACTAGTACAGGGTCCCCTCTGCAAGTGGCCTCTGGATTTTTTTTTTAATCTATAACATGAGTATAAGGATGCTGTATTTACATGATTATGCACAAAAAAGGCATCACACACAGTTTTCACTCTTCTAATGAAGAATGAAAATGTGCAAGAAGATGTTTGCAAAGAAATGGAAATGCTGAGTGGCTCTGGTTGAATTTGGGTTTTGTTCTTCAGAGTGCTGTGAACTCAGGGGGACACAGGAAGTGCCTTTGTAATAGCTAAACGCATCCGTGGAGATGCAAGGTTTGTGTGGAAGCACACAGCTTGTGCTATAACAGCTCCAGCAGGTGGTTTGTGCAAAGAACTCTGGTGGTTCTGCAGGGCTGTGCCAAGCTGCTGGCACAGAGATACACAGCTGAGTCCTCTAGTTCCAGGGCACTCACGTTCAGCTCAGAGTGATAGTTCTTGAATTGCTGAGCTGAGAACCTGTCTGGGACGTTTCCTTTTGCATTCTCAAAAGTTTCATAATACACAAAAAGTAACTGAAGGCCCTGGCCAGGAGCCTGTTGGTACCAGGATACATAGGAGTGTCCAGACACAGGGGAGCATTGCAATGACACTTGGTGCCCTCTTGTTTTGATCAGATGTCTTGGAGTTTGAGTGACCCCAGTCTCCACTGTGCCTGTGGGAAAAGCAGATGGAGATGAGCACAAGAGAGAGCGTGGACATGCAGCCACCACGGAGAGTGAGGGTTGAGGAGCCAGTGCGCTCAGGGTAGCCCTCCTTGTCGCCAGCGCTCACCTGCTCCTGGGAGATAAAGCATGGCCCACAGCAGGAGTCTGAAATCCATGGCACCAGATGGGAAGGCAGTGCTGGCTTCTGTGCTGGGGACTGCTCATCTTAGGTAAGAGCTGCCATTCTGATTGGAGACCACGCTGTGATGTCACTGCCCAGAGAGCTTCCTCCTACAGGCCACCTGACATTTAAGGTTCCTCTACTCCATGTTCTCCACTGGCAGTGATGGCTTAGGACAACAGCTCCCCTCATGAGGCACTTGCTCCTCTGTCTGCACTGTTCAAGGCACCAGGAGACCCCATTTTCCACCCCAATTAATGCTGTAATTCACAAGAGGGTAACAAGTGTGTGATGAAATCTTCCCATACCAGTTCTGTCCATGGCTCTTCTTATCATCTGTCTGATGCTGGGTTCAAACCAACATTTCTCTCTTTCCTTTTCTCTCCCTGGAAACATTCCCTGCTTTCCTACAAATGACCACCTGCTCAGGTCAAAGGCAGTCAGGACTGCCTATAATTTATGAAGAGTAAAGATTCCCCACAAACAGTTACACAATCTTGACTGCTCACAGCGCAGAATGAGCTGATTAGAGACCGCAGTGGCCTGTATAACCCACATGCCTCCCTCCAGACTCTCTTTACCTTCAGAGGCTCCCCCAATGGATAACCTTACAATTGCCTTCTACCTCCCCAGTGAGGTCAGCTTTTGGGAGACTATGGCAGGAGAGTAGATGGAGACAGGAAAATCAATTGTCCTTGTATGCAATATCCACTCACTCCTCCCTTCTAAATGATTTACATCCGGGCTCCTGGCTCCGGAATGGTCAGCTCTGGCTGTTGTGGCCACTTGAAGGGTGAATCAACACATGGAAGATCTTCCTCTCTGTCTCTTCTTCTCTGTATATCTGACTTCCCAGTAAAAAAAAATCTTAAAAAAATAAAATAAATGAATTATATATCATATATATATATAATTCATTTAAAGGTCAAGCTGTAAGGAAAAGACTGATAATCTCAAATGTTGGCAAAAAAAAATACTTTGCAGTGAAGAGAATTTCCTCTGCTTGTTACTGGCTTGCTGCTCTGTGTTGGTTGGCCACATTGGAAAACTGATTCCACCATCCCTAACAAAGTCATGTGTTCATCTACCTGATTCATCAGTCATTGCTCTGTGTCAGGTATGAGAAAACTGAATTCACTCATTCACAAAAATTTGTCCCAGAATAGGCCAAGCAACTTTAGTCATAGCAGTTGAAAACTGGAATAACACATATACCCCCACCTTCCAAGGAGCTTCAATCACAGCAGTTGAAAAACAGAGAAACTCATATATTCCTCCAAAAGATAAATTCCTGCATATTCAAGAATGGAACACTCCTCTCTAGTAAGAATGCATAAACTACCAATATATACAGCAGAATGATAATTTATTTTTTTAGCAACCTATGCTCTGTAAAGTAGAAATTAATAAAAATACATAACACTCCATTTACACATAGTCAAGAACTGAAAAAAAATTAACAAATGATAATAGAAATGAGAAGTGTTCATCTCAGGACACAGTGTGTTAAGCCGCTGCATGTGAGACCACTATCGTGTAATGGAACACCAGTTTGTGTCTCCACTGCTCATCTTCCAAACTAGCTCCCTAGTAACATGTCTGGAAATCCAGGAGAACTTGACCCAACTAGTTGAGGCCTTATGCTCCATCTGAGGCACTCCAATGGAATTCGAGCTCCCTGGCTCAGTTTGGTCCAGTCCTGGTCATTGTGGCCGTAGGGTGCGTGAACCAGCAGATGGCAAATCTATGTTATAGTCTCCTCTCTCTGCTGCTCTGTATGCCAAATAAAATATATGATGGTTTCTTTTTTTTTGGGAAAACAGAGTTTTCCTCTTCTAAAGAACTTGGAAAGGGACAAAAACCTTCTCTGGTAGTAGACACGCTCTTTATAGTGTTTAAATTATGATCATAATAGTATGGATACGTGTCTAAATTTATCAAGCATTGCACTCTATTGTTCATACCTTAACAGCACATTATTAAGAAATAAATAAGTAGATTGTATCAATAATGGAAATCAAATTCATAATTTCACTATAGAATTCAATCCAGAAATATACTACACAAAATAGGTATATAACTGCTCAGAAATCTACTTGAAATATTGAAATGTGAGATGGGCTTCATGACTGAAATGCACAACATCCAAATTTGGAAACAAATAAGCTGGAGTGGCAAGTTTATTGAGAAATAGCTGAGGATCGATCGCTCAATGAAATACGTGGACAAGCAAAACACAAGAAAATTCCTCAAGCCTGTTGCTGTCACTCCGTGATTCATGTAATGCTACAGACGGCATATATTATGAGATCTGTCATTCTTCAGTCTCACCAGCCAGCGTTCTGGCTCAGCTTTCAGACAGATTGATCAACTGGTGAATTGATTTTCTGCCAAGCAAACAACCTGCTCCCCTCTTTTCCTGCTGGCTCCTGGGTGAACCAGCATGCTCCTTGGGCAGCCTCGCAGGAGTGCACCTGGAATAGCATCTACACACGGGATTTGAACTTCCTGGGAAGCTCAGCTGAGGGCCTCTCAGTCTTGGCGTTCACGGAGCCCAGTCAAGGGACTTGGTTATTGTGAGTGGGTCCAAACAGGGTTACAGCCTTCGGAAAGATAAACCATTGGCAAAGTATTATTTTGTCATATTTTATAAGACAAGTTAGAAGCTCATGGGTTTTAATCCAAGCCAAAGTAATGGTAAGAATCAAGTGTCTTCCATAATCTACCCGTGGAAGTCTCAAGTCACAGCTCTGCACCTACTGGTCCTTGGGCACAAATTAGTGCATTGTCTTGGCATAATCCTGCTGGCTGATATTACAGATCTAGTGCTTCTGTTCAGTGTGTTTGCTAGCATTTCCCCCCATGTTTGTGTATTAGTGATTTTTATAACTTATAGAACCCACCACCCTTCCTCTCCTCTACTTGTGTGACATCAAGTAGAACAAATAGGTGGTTTTTTGTAATAGCTTTAAACTTGGAGAACTTCACATCACTCCGGGAGTTCAAACTGCTCCTGCTCCCTCGGAAAGACATGAGACATAAATTCCATGCTGGAAGCGACTGCTCATCGCTTTACACCATGACTAGAATGTTCCCAGTGAGCAAGACAGCAATGAAGTGTTGTCTGATTTTCTACTTGCTCACATGCTGACGGCCTTGGCTCACATTGGGGTTCCTGCCGCACGAGGCCTTTCCGACTGAGGACTTCAGAGCTCCACAAAAGGCAGGATTTTCTCCGAGTGGAGGCAGGGACCCCAAGAAGCAAAGGCCAGCTTGGATTCATGGCTTCTCTTTTTGTCCATACAGCTACTGTATTTTCACTGCAGGCACAGAGGCACAAGAAGGGCTGGTTCCTAGTTGTGGCTGATTCCACTATCAAGGGGAAAGGCTCCTTCTTATTTCTGGAGAAGCTGTGCCCTCTGCAGCATCTGCTCTGAAAGTACCGTGGATGCTGACTGAATAATGGATCAGTCCTGGCTCCTGCCCGGTGGCTTGATGACACAAGAACGTTGAATACTGGTTTATGTTCTGAGAAGATTCCAGGGCCATCCTCTTTCTCGAGTGCACTGTACAGTATCTTGGCTTGTTGATGACTCCAGCCTCCACAGGACCTGTTGAAGAGGCATGCACCCATGACATCAAGATTTCAGCAGGACCCAGTGAGTTAGCCTACCAGCTAAAGTCCTCACCTCGAACGCGTCAGGATCCCATATGAGTACCGGTTCTAATCCCAACAGCCCAGCTTCCCATCCAGCTTCCTGCTTGTGGCCTGGAAAAGCAGTTGAGGATGGCTCAAAGCCATGCGATCCTGGACCTGTGCAGCAGACCTGGAAGAGACTCCGGATTCGGGCTTTGGATTGGCTTAGCTCCGGCCATTGCGGTCACTTGGGGAGTGAATCATCAGACAGAAGATCTTCCTCTCTGTCTTTCCTCCTCTCTGTATATCTGACTTTGCAATAAAAATAAAATAAAGCTTTTAAAAAAAATATTTCAGCAGTAGTGTGCACCTGCTGAGGAAAGAGATGTGCCCACCCACTAAGCAAACAAGGATCTGCAAGCCCGTTAAGAGTTTCTCAATAGAGGGCAGAACTCAGTAGCTCCCAGAAAAGTAAGGATTGCATAGATGGAGAGTGTGGGGTCCAGGACAAAGCCAAAGCAAGAAGGGGCTCTCGCAGGTAAATGCTGTGATCAGAGGCTGAGATCCTGAGCTCTGAAGATGCTCTCAAGCAGGCTGGCGAAGCTGTAAGGTTTTTCACTACTCCTCAAGCACTTGTTTGCATAGCGAGCCTCAGGAACAAACTCAGTAGGATCAGCCTTTTTCCCCTGCAGGTTGTAGTGGATCTGGCCTTTGTGGAAGATGAGATATAGCAGCAGCAACATATTCACATCAGGGCACACCCCTGCCTCTTGACTTCCCCGAAGGCAGTTGCTCCGCTGTCTGCACCTGCCCCTTACATCAAGGCTACTCTGTGGGTCTCGTTAAAGTGCAAAGGGACCGCCCACCTCTCACACAGCTGTAGGTAGTTCAGCTGTAACTGAAACCTTCAACATCTGCCTAATACAGGATCCAGCGTTTGTCTTAACACTTTCCTTTCTTGCTTTCTGGAGCTCCTTGGACCCTGTGGCATTGCAGCGCCACCTTGTGGCCAGTACACGCAGCTTCATCCATGTGTTTACACAGGAACTAAGTAGTAACTACAGTTTTTGTTACTACAAAGAATAAAAATAAAAGTAAAGGGTATTTATAGTGGGGAAAAAAAAGCTCATTGTCAGAGGAATTATTTGAAACAAAAGCCCTGGGCAGCAATTGAAATCTTCACCTCTAGAAACTAATAGAATCAGAAAAAAAAAAAAAAGAAATGGGACCTAATTTAAAAGCATGCTGTTGTCTAAATAACTACAGCAGGAGAGATGCAAAATGAAAAAAAAAAAGAATAAAAATCAGTGTTAAGGTTGGAATGATGTAATCTTTTTTAAAGGAAACTTATTGATTTATTTGCTTGCAATCTAAAATAGCACAAAGAGAGGAAGAGACAGAGATCTCTGTGTGGGATGACTGCCCACACAACGACGACAGACAGAGGTGGTGCAGGAAGAGCCAGGGTCCAGGAATTCCACCAAGACCTGCCACTTGCATTGCACTTGGGCCAGCTGCTGCTGCTTCCTCAGGCTGTATAGCAGAAAGTTGAATCTGAAGTAAAGCATTCCACACAGTAACTTGGACTCATACACAGGAAAGAAGGGTCACAGATAACAAATGACCCCTTGCACCAGGACAACGGCCCGAGTGAAGCCTTACCATGAGCAGTGCTGTGTTCATCAATTACTGCCACACACCTGGCACAGACCCAACTTCCAATAGGAAGACAGAGCTGATGCTGAGCGGCAGATGACCTGAGATGCCGAGAGCAGAACAGTGGCTTCAGCAAGAAGAATGTGCTGAGAACCTCAGACCTTGCAGAGGACATAAGCCCCTGCGCTGCAGAGCCAGGCCTGCTCGCTGCTCACAAGCACATCAGAAGACTGCCGTGCCCACCTCGCAGGAGAGGCTGACCTCCATGCTGTTCCCCTCTGTGTCAAGCTACTCTGGGGACTCCAAGTACCCAGGGGTACTTACCCAGGACCTTAGAGCTAGAGCGTTAGCAGTTCTTCTTGGCCACTTCCTGTCACAGGATGATGGGCTTCAACCCTACTTCTTTGGCGGCAAGAAGATCAGAGCTTGCCCTCCACTGAAGCTCCCTCAGAGCTGCCAGGACACAGACGGATGAGGTTTGTGAGCAGGAGGGAGCTGGCAGTGCCACGCTGTGGCTAAGCTGCTCGCACAGAAGTACACAGCTGAGTCCCCAGGCTCTGCAGGCTGGATGTTCAGGGTGGATGAAGATCCCTGGGGCCTCTTAGCAGAGAAGCGCTCCCCAGGCATGCCTGACTCGTCAAGAACTTCTTTACGGTCGAAGTAAGTCATGAACTGCAGACCTTGCCCTGGGGTCTGCCGGTACCAATAGAGAGTAGCATGGCCCGACTCTGGGTCACACCTGAGAGTGACATTCTGACCCCTCCCTGTGACCCTGTGCCTGGGGTCCTGGGAGACTCCAGCGTCCGTGTGGTCTGTGGAGACAAAAGTCAGGACAGAGGATAAAGGCAATTGAGTTCATTATTCTGAAATTCAAACATGTGCACATACAACACACACATGCACATACATATGAGGACTCACCTGCCCCCAGGAGACTGAGGGCCACCCAGCAGAACAGCCAGTTGCTCATGGCAGGGCAGGGTGGAAGCTCTGCCAAGTCAGGGCCTTAGTGGGCAGGGGCAGAAGAGGAGGAGCCTGCCTGGGGGTGCGACACAGCGTAGAAGGAGGTTTGCATCATTCAGAAGACATCCTGTGTCTCCCAGTTTCTTGTGATGAGGGTGTCACTGGATTCTGTGGGAGCAGAGCCTGCCCTGAGTTTGTGTGTTGAGAGGATGTGACTATGCAGCGCTGTGGATCACTGCTGGCACACAAGTACATAGAGGTCTGTGAGGGGGCAGCCGACTTTGCGGTGAGCAGGAAGTTCTCTGTGCTTGGTCTAGATGCATTATACCCATCAGGGACTTCTCCTTTATCAGTGATGCCTTTGCCCACTGAGTAATGAATCAGCTTCAGGCCCTGTCCTGGGTCCTGGCGGTACCAGTACATGTCACTGTGGCTTGTATCCTGGACACATGTCATTGTCAGTCTCTGTCCTGTCTTTAGGATCTGGAACATGGGCCTCTGAGTGACCCCTGCATGTGCTGCACCTGTAGAGGAGGAAGATGTTAATATTGTAGCTCCAGTGCAAGGGCTTGGCAATGGGGCCTTGAGAGCCCCTCCTGGACGCACCTGCAAACAGGAGACAAAAGGCTGCCCAGCACAGGAGGCTGACACTCATGGTGGGAGAGGGCAGGACAGCTGGCCTTCTCGTCTAAATGTTGGCAAAGGGAGAGCCTAACACAGGATTGTGTCATTCTGAGACCAAAGTCTAACTGCCTGGGAACCAGAATCTTCCTGTCAATCAAGGAAACGCCTCTTTGCACAGAAGGTTCAAAGTAAATGTACAGATGAGCAGCTTAGATCAGGAAGTGTTCATGTGAGTTGACACAGGTCCTGTAAGTTTTCTCTGACACCACTGTGGAACAGTTTGTCGGTCTATGTATATTTTATTCCTATGGTGACATCTGTTCTCATTAGCCCACTGGTTTTAGCTACTAAAATATTCCTGTAGTCCAGAATCTTAAGAAAAATCCTTTTAACTTGCTGGTGCCTTTTCACTTTACGTCCAAATTGCTCATTCAAGTATCCTTTCCTAACATGCCTACTTGACAATCCTTTTCATGTCCACTGCTTGTATTATTCACTCCTCATCTGGACTCCAAAGCTCAGTAGTAGGCTATTCATTATTAAAGAGATCATGTGCTTCATTTCTGGTCAATTCCCTGACAGATGGGCCACTTGCAATATGTAACTCAGACACTTTCATCTCTGCTCAGGATATGTGCTTCCCCAAAGGTAGTGCTTCAGCCACAGAATCAGCTCCCACTGGTGACTGCCCCGCTTCGGCTGATGATGGCTGTTCCTGCATGCAGAGGGTGTTTTGATACAAAGGGGTATGGGTTATGAGTGATGTGCAGAGAGCTTGCAGATTCTAGTGGAACAGGGAGTGCTGTTTCTGTTGGAGACAACACATGATAGGGAGCATTCCCTTGTGCAGAATGCCCAACACCCACTAGATAATAAATACAAAGAACTTGAAATGCCATATCTTACAAAATGGAATCTCAGCCTGCAGTGTACACAGGATTAGGTATAGAAGGGTACTTTGGAGCACCCCTTCTGGGGTAGCCCCATGTTTTGAACAGGTGCTGTGGTCTTGTTGGTCCTATCCTTGAGTGACAGAGATACCCAGGTGTCACTTTTCAGAACATTGACACCGGTTTTCCTGCACCCTGCAGGACCCAGGCTCTCACAGCTGTGTCAGCTCTGAGGTTTCTCCATACAGGGGAAGGAAGTTTGTGCACAGAAGGCCAGGGACTCGGCAGGGCTGTGCTAAGCTGCTGGCACAGAGATACACAGCAGAGTCCTCCAGCTCCAAGGCACTCAAGTTCATTTCAGAGCTGTAATTACTGAACTGGTGAGCAGAGAACCTGTCAGGGACGTTTCCTTTTTCACTCTGTGACCCTCTGTAATAGTCAAAGAGGAACTGGATGCCCTGTCCCAGAACTTGTTGGTACCACAGCACACGCTCATGTCCAGAGAGAGGGGAACATCGCATTGTCACTTGTTGCCCTCTTGCTTTGATCAGGTGTCTGGGCGTTTGTGTGACTTCAGTGTCCACTGGTGCTGTGGGAAAAGCAGGTGGAGATGAGCACAGGAGAGAGCCTCATGCTGTAAGCTCTTGTAAAACAGAGAATGAAGAACGAGTGAGCTCAGGGTGGGGATGCTCTCCTTGTCTTCAGACTCACCTGCTCCCAGGAGACAGAGCATCACACAGGAAATGAACCAAGATTCCATGGCACAGCAGCAAAATGTGGTACTGGTTCCTCTACTTAACATTGCTCCTCTGGTGTAAGACCTGAGTGTTTTTAGTCCTCTTCTGATTTGGGGATCGCCCTGTGATGTCACTGTTCTGATGCCATCTTCTTCAGACCTCCTGAGGTTCAGAGTGCCCCCACGCACACCAGACTCTGCACGGGAGAGCTGCCTTAGGGCAGCAGCTTCTCTGATGAAGCAGCTGCTCCACAGACTGCACTGTCCTAGGCACCAGGAGCTGCAGCTCCTTTCCTTCCTGCTGTCTGCAATGCTGTGTGCAGGATCTCATCCAACTCGTTGTTAGCTGACTGTGATTAAATCCCCAGGGACCAGATCTGCAGCCTGCAGGGCCATGGATACTTCGTGTTCATCCTTCCAGATCCACCCTGCCTTCAGAGGTTAACCCAGTGGATTACATTAACTCGATCTTTTTCCCTCTACTCCTCAGTGAGCTCAGCTTATCGGAGACGTTGGCAGGAATGTAAATGGAGAGAAAACCAACTGTCCTCGTTTATAACACCCATTCATTCCTCTGCTCTCAATGGTTTATATTTCAGTTACTTTTCTCTACAATGGGCACAGCAATGTAGTTGCCGTAGTCAGCCTTATTCTAAAGCCCAGTCACCCGACTGCCCAGGGACCCACCCCCTCTGCTCTTCATTGAGGCAAATGTGAATCAGAGTTACCCACTTAATGTTAGCCCTTACCCTCCCACACCTTTGTAATTAATATGACTATTCTCTCTGAATGGTGCCAAAATCATAATGGAATTCACGAAGTGAAAGAAAGCACTGGCGACTTTATTTTGCCTTTGGAAATAACCAAAGTTCTAACGTCATAGAATCAATATTGATGTCACCAGAAGCAATGACAAATAAGAAGCATGCAAGCAAAGTGTGACTGGAGAGCGAGAATCTAAGAGAAGTGCTTTCCGACTCCTTTCTCAAGAAGGCCTCAGTAGGATGTGTGTGCTCTCTACTCACGGTAGACACTGGAACTCCCTCCAAAAGCACCTCGCAGGACTCAGTCTCTGCCGCTCAGTGCTGCTCCTCACTGCTTCCTAAGTCACAGGGGGTAAGCCTAGTTGCTAGCTGACAAGCAATTCCTGTGTCAAATTCAGATATGATAGGACATTTTCAGCCTCTCTGGCTCAGTAGCATCAGCCCCTCTCCTCTACAGGCTGTTGCAGAGTGGGACTGCTGTGAGGGGGAGCTGAACCTGTGCAGCTGCCACTTTTTAACCTTAACCCTTTCTACCTTAACAACCAGACTTACTCCACACCTGGGTCACATGGGAGTTGAAGCGCCACCTTGTGTCCAAGATATAAAGTTTCATTGTTATTGATCCTACAATGTCTCAAGGAAATAGTCAAATAATAAGATTACCTTCAAGATAAGGCCAGATTTGCGATTAATGAAGTAACGTGGATTCCGAGAAAGACATAGGATATACGTGCTTAAGCACTGGGTGAGGGATCAGCATCTGATATTAAGTAAATTTAGGTGAAATAACGAACTGCCAGAAAGGTTTTTACAATGAGTAACTTGCATGGTACTGGTGTATTGTTTTCAGATGATTCTGGTGGAAGCACAGAAGGAGTGAGGTCTAAGGATGGATGGATGCAATAGTACCAAGTAGGGCTGTAATGATGCCAACTCTGCTGGATCTTAAACTTTACTGTCTCTGTACCCAAAAGAACCATTTCCTATTGCGAGGCAGGAATACTACTGTGAAAAAATAAAAATCTCAATTTCAGAAAATTCTATAAACACAGAAATCTGGGGAGCAATTAAAATCCCCAGTTTATAGAAATCTGTTTTACTCTGGGGAATAAAAAGAAATTAGAGCAGTAACAAAAGTTTGCTTTATTTTACGATGGTCCAGGCACAGTTGAAAATGAAAACTGAAAACAGCAGGAGGCTTAAGCTAGACAGCTCACATGAAGTCTCATGGTGAGTGTTGCATTCATCATTTACTGTCACAGGACTGACACAGGCCTAACTTCACATAAGAGGACGGAGCTGAGGTTTAGCTGCAGATGGCCTGCAGGGTACCAGGAGACCAGAGGCTTTAAGAGGAAGAGCGTGTGAAAGTTGGACCTCAGATTTTGCTAAGCACACCCATCCAGTAGTGTAAGGGCCTAAGTGTGTCCATGACTGCAACTTGTGGGAGTACAGCAGCCCCAAAGCTAGAAAGACTGCCTGTCCCCACCCTGCAGGAGAGGGTGACATTGCTTACGAGCTTCACTGTGTGGAGCTTCTCCAGGGACCCAGAGCAACCAGGGAGCTCCTCACATTCACAGCTGGATAGCTCACAGTTCACCTTCATCACTTCCTGTCAAAGAATGACTGGTTCCAAACCTGTTTCTTTGTCTTGATGTGTGAAGATCTAGAACGCCCTCTGTTTAACATCTTCAGAACTACCAGGATATGGAAGAATGAGGTTTGTGAGCAGGAGGGAGGTGGCAGTGCCACAGTGTGGCTAAGCTGCTGGCACAGAAGTACACAGCTGAGTCCCCAGGCTCTGCAGGCTGGATGTTCAGGGTGGATGAAGATCCCTGGGGCCTCTTAGCAGAGAAGCGCTCCCCAGGCATGCCTGACTCGTCAAGTATTTCTCTCTGGTTGAAGTAAATCATGAACTGCAGACCTTGCCCTGGGGTCTGTCGGTACCAATAGAGAGCATCATGACCAGACTCTGGGTCACACTTGAGAGTGACATTCTGACCCCTCCTTGTGACCCTGTGCCTGGGGTCCTGGGAGACTCCAGCATCTGTGCGGTCTGTGGAGACAGAATTCAGAAACAGAGAGGAAAGCAGTTGAAGTCATCATTCAGATACACTCCCATGTGTGTGATACAACATGCAACTACAAGCACATAACAACATACATATATGCACACACAACACACAAACCTACATGGGCGCACACAGTGCACAAATAGTGAAATATCTTCCTGTCTGAGGACTTACCTGCCCCAAGGAGACCCAGGGCCACCCAGCAGAGCAGCCTCGTGCCCATGGCACATCAGAACAGGATGGAAGCTTCCACAAGATCAGGGCCCTGGTGGGCAGGAGCAGAGGAGGAGGGGCCTTCCTAATCCTCAAACATGAGAAAACCAGCAGTGGTTTTCATGGTGACTTCACTTCCTCTGTCAAGCCCCATGACATCACAGGAGTCATGTTTTGTGTCCTTGGAATGACTGACTTAAATACTGACTTAATTATTTGCCAGCTCCCTTTCAGCCTCATCAAAGCATGTGTCATCACTGTGTTCCAGGGCTGTCTGGATAACGGGGCCTCACACGGAATCTCCGAGTCCTTTCTCACTGGACGGTTGCTGCTCTGTCTGCTGTGTCCTGTCAATGGCGCCGTGAACACGAATCAGGGTGGCTGAACTCACTGTCTTCTCTGAAAGGCGGGG